ATCCCATCCCATCCCATGCCATGCCATGCCATGCCATGCCATGCCATGCATCCATCCATCCAAGCCATCCAGAACACAAGCATGAAACCCACACCCACGCGCCGTGGAGTCACTGATGCTTGATTCCAAAACAACTCACAGGGATCAAGCACAGCACTGATAAGACTGATTGCCTGATGGCTGACTCATCTTCAGCCGTGCTCCGTGTCCAAAAGATCTACTTTTCGAGTTCGAACCGGTGAATGTATTCGAAGCAGCAAGCCTTCTTAACGGCAGAGGCCATGCAAACGACACTCCCGCGAAGCACCCGCTGCCAATGGCCTCTCAATTCTTGTTTGAACAAAGTCGTTGGCGTGCGTGTGTTTTGTCCATTCCTAGTGTGTCCGTCTGTTCCTGCTGCTACCGCATGATGAAGTCGCTCAAAAGCGGTCCAATCGAACCGCCCAAGACTTCATCCCCCGCTGCCTGTTCCTGTAATTCTGCCCATGTGTGTTCGGTCCTCCAACACTTACACAAACGCCCTTGGTCTGATCGGTGCACCAGCATCATCATGCAACCAATGCTACCCATGTTTGCTCAAATCCACTCTTGCCCCGTCGCTGTTGCGCCTTAGAAGCATCAAGGCCAAAAACAATGCCGCATTGTTCAGGACCGGTTCCATTGTTTGTTTGGGGTGGAAGCGGGGGCTGTGGTTGGGAGGGGGGCAACGTTAACTCAATTCACCACTCATCGGCCTAGGCGAGCCGCGATCTTCTCCGGGACCCAGGCAAACATAAGAAGCGAAAAGCAATGACTCCAAAACCCACGGCGCAACTTCTTCGTAACAACCAGATTGGATCTGAACTCTCATCAGCCCTCTCCATCTCGCTCCCTAGCTTATTGACATCTGCTCTAGGCCTCGGGCCTGCCCAGATGACTGATTTTTCTGGCCGTCCTCGGCACCCATGGCGAAATTCTGAAGGGAAAAGCTGTTGCCGCTCATGCCGTCCGAGGACATCACGACGCAGAACCCGTACTCAAAGCGACCCGAAACTCTGCACCCGGTCACCTGGCCGAACACGAAGCGACAGTACAAAGCAGAAGTGAACTCCACTAAACTCGAACCCAGCCAGTTGACACGCACCACACCCTACGACAGTTGCTCAATGTCTCTGTTGACATGTGTCGTTCACATGGACACCTCTGTTTGGCCAACCCTTTCTTTGTTGAGGCTCATTCAAGCTTGTCCAGTTTTGGTGCTTCGCTGAGGCAACTCGATGTGTGTAGCCTTTGTCAGTTCATGATTCATGTGGGCCAAAGCGTGACGCCCTCGCCAAGTGACGACAATTGCACGGCGAGCTGTTTGTTGGCCCCGCAGGGCTACACTGCCACATCTGAATCTGGCTTTTTGGCCACCATCAATACGTTGAAGCCACAGCCGAAGCTGGGACAACAGACGAGTTTCTCGCCAGCCACATCTCACGGAGAAGCCCTGAGTCTTCTTCCCGGAGGCTTGCAAGCCCTTCGAGGAGGAGCGAGTCTGCCAAAGATGTGCAGGCAAGGCCTGCAAGCAACAAAAAAATGATGAGAGGTTTGAGCGACGTAGGCCGTAACACGAACGAATGGACTGTCACTCACAAGAAGGCCCCTTCCACCGCAGAAGCTGCCCGTCACAAAGATGGAGTGGTAAATGTTGGAAGCTCAAATTCCGTCAGTCGAACGGTGGCCAGCAGCATTGGATGCTGGAAAAACGGGATGCGCACTACATCCAGGTCTTGCTGCAATCCCAGCACGGAAGTCGCATCATGAAAACCAGGTCCCACTTAATTGAAGCACTTGAACTTGAAACGCTAGGGGAAGCTGAAGCGGGTCATGAGTGTGCAGGGAGCCCTATGCACGCGGCCACACGACCCATCGGTGCTGATTGCCTAGGCCCTAGGACATAGCAGGCGGCCCACGAGAGACCTTGGAGCGTCACAGAATCTTTCAGTTTTTCGCTGAGCAAGCTCCACATGATGGGTTTGAGAAGAGGTGGGGAGAACCACAAAAACGATGGGCTCAGGGTAAATTTCGGAACTTGACACGTCCTGGGGGGGGGGGGGGGTTGGAGAAAAAGCCTCTTGCATGCGTCAGGCCACGCGCTTCCAGGACCCTCGGGTCCTAGGGTGCACCAAGTCACGAATCAGCTGACGAACACGGTGGTCGCGCTGGGAGTCAGAACCAGCTGTCGGGATGGACAAAACACAACAAGTTCGCAAAATTGGTCCCACAAAAAGCCTCGTGCCACAGACACTGGCCCACTCAGTGCAAGTGTTCTTTCGTTCTTCGGGCGGGAAAGCTACGACGGCTACGGAAGAAGAGTCTTCCAACAAGCAGAACTAGTAACTAGTATTGCCAGCATCTGCTGCACACCAGGATCGCGCTCCTGCATCGCACACAAGCACGGCCATTCCCCCGTCCATCCCGAACTTTCTGTAACTGAAAAGCAGCGGTTGGTTTACATGGCTGCCCTTTGCATGCCCTGAACTGAAAGAAAGAAAGTCGGACGACGCAGATCAAGTTCGCGTGCAGTGAGGTGGCTCTTCAGGACCTCCCGGTCTCTTGTTCCTGGAGCCCTGATGAGGGCGTCTGCCCACTTCACGGGCACGAGAAAATCTGATGCGGCAATGTCTCCTATTTTCCTGCAATGTCTCATCAAGCCAGCAGGCGCCACTGAAGTGATAACACCATAGCCTTTGCCAAGCTTGGCAGGTATCAATCAAGACTCGGGTCAGCACGGCGCAAACTTTGGGACCGGTGCCATGAAGCTGCGAGCTCAGGAACTCGCCCATGTAGTGGTCCTGTCCGTGGCAGAAGCGGATTTCGCGTTGCCAATGACAGCAGCCACATGAAGCATCGTGCTGCGGCATACATCTGTGGCAAGACTGCCAATGCGAACTGAAACATGTTGGTACAACATCGCAATCATCGCAACTGCGGCCTCTTGCACATCACCTTCAGAGCTGAGAAAAGTAACCTCGCGAAAAGCAACGCTCAAATGCCAAGCCTGCTGTAGCAGATCCTGTCAGAAGGAACACTGCAAGTAACAGGTCCTGCTAGGTCCAGGACCGAACCAAAGCCTCCCGACGGGCATCAAGGGGGCCGCTTCTTGCAGCATGTTCACCAGGGCTGCGGACCGCAATTGTTTACAGCGCGCATCAAGGCAAATCTCAGCTCCGGCCAGTTTCACAGGCCGCGGATCCTTCGTGATCTTCGGAAGGCAAGAGTGGTGAAACCTACAACATAGGCATACGCTTCGTCGGAGGAGCAACTACAACTGAACATGCAAAAGCCTGACAGCACCATGTGTCAAGTCAATTGACTGCTTGTGACTAGCCTATGATTTGATCGCATGCCTTACAGACGCAGAGAACCGGTTCTGACCGCACCTTCGGTGTTTAGAGCGTCAGTTCGTTCATCTAGGCTTTGCGTCAGAAAAGGACCTGGAATTGAGTCTTCTCCGTGCTGACTGCCAGGGTGTTCATCATGTAGAATTGTCTCAATCGTCATCAAGCGGTTGTACATGGATTGGAAAAACCTTCGTTGCTCCTGGTTCATGAGATGGGTAGTGAACATCACAGTCTGCAAGTCGATGCTAGTAGCAGCTCCTTTCATGCGGACACACGCATTGGCAAAAGTTGTAGCATCTATCATTGGCTCTCCCTGCAACTCCACGAGCATCTTAAAGAAAGTCTCCGCATTCTTAATGTCGATGCCCCGGGTTTGGAGATATGAACGGAACTCGAAAGTCTCGACCAACTGACGGAACTCTTCCATTCCGATGCGCTCGTTGCCATCGTCGTCTGTTGGGCGCATGCTTTTGACGAGCCTGGCAAGCATTTTGCAATCCTCGAAGTCTTGCAACTGCTGTTCCAGAATGAGCATGTCCACATCTGGCTGCGCCAGCTTCAAAGCTTTTTCCACGAAGGTGCTGGTCACGATGTTCCACACCGAGATGAAGACAAAAGCAATGTAGACTAAGAATGCTGCTGGCATGACATCCCCTGTAAACTCCAAAGCCTTGTAGGGCTCGTTCCAATCCACTCCAGAAGTTGACGACTGGAACAGAGTGACGACCGTGCGAAAAACACTGCGAAAGTATGTAAAGACGTACTCTTCCGCCTCTGGTGACATAGTTGCGCGCTGTTCCATCAGGTACTGCACAATCCCCTGCTGCAGCAAGAGCCCGAAGACATACATCACGAAGACAAGCATAATCACACACCACATGGCATTGATGAGAGAGCCCAGCACACAGTCCAACATCAGGCGTAGTTCGCTGAAGAACTTCAGCGTCCGAAAGACACGCAGGATCTTCACAATTTTGCACAGACGAATTAAGCGCCTTAGCTTGAAGCAAATCATTTTCCATGAAAACAAATGAAGCAGGCTATTCTGTCCGAAAGCCTTCGGACAAAGAATGACGGCCAATTAACAAGCCCAGCAGCAGAAAGCCCAAGTTCACACCAGACGAACTTCCATCTGCAGCGGCCGAACCATCTGTCGATGCGGCTGCGGCTGCAACGGGTAGTAGGTCATAGACAAGCAAGTTTTCAATAATTGAGAAGACTACGAGGAAGAAGTCGAACCAGTTCCATGCCATCTCAGCATTCCAGAAGAAATACATCTTGTGGACCATCAACTTCAGGAGAAGCTCAACCACGTAGAAGGATGCAAGCACCAGCTCGATTAAGTAGACATTGCTATCGGTGTTAAGTGGCTGGTCAATGTTGCGCATCTCGAGATCTGTGGTGTACAAGATGAAAGCTGCATTCAACAAGATCACGCTGGCTGCAGACACGCTGAAGAGGGTGCTGTTCACGAAGCGTGCCAAACGTCCACGACGTTCCGGCTCTTCTAGGGAGCAGCAATTCTCCAAAAAGCCTGTCAACCACAGCACCGTCCTGGCCAACTGGCCGGAGCACCAACATCTGTACTCGTCTGCAGATGATGAAAAGTTCGTCCTGAGTATGTTGAGAACACTAGTCTGTAGATATGGATTCTCTCGATCTCGAATGCCGTTGATCGAGTAGCAGGGACGACTGTTGTCGGAAGGAACTTTGTGAACTCCCTTTTGCTGCTGGGACGGAAGGTCCAAGCCCATGCCGGCCATGCCGGCCAAGCCTGCTCGTGACTTCTTGGTTGAGACTTTGTCCGAGGAGAGAGAGGCGGAGGTCATCGATCGCTTGGAATCGAAAGGATCAGAAATTGCATCAGAGCTTCTACTCTGGCGGCTGCCAAACCGTAGCAGCCGTCGCTCCCCTGTCTCATGAATCACTGCAACCACAGGAATCTCAGCTGCCGAATCAGACAGGACATGGGATTCCTCCATTGACATGCGGTAGTCGTGCACACTGTCAGAGCCATTCTCAATGTCGATCCGGATGGCCTCCGGTTGTTCTTTCGCCCGCTGCACCTCTGTGGATAACTTGAATAGAAGAGCCTGCTCGTCCATCGCCAGCTTGATTAGATCCTGATGCATGGCCCTGCATTGCTGTAGTAAATCCGTGGAGCTCTCATCCTCTTCATGCGAGCCACTGCTCACGGTGAATCCTGGACACCATGTTGTCAGCGACATGGCAAAATGCGCTACAGCGATTGATGGGCGTCTCGCCTTAACCGCCCAATTGCTGCAACCCGTTGATGCTTCTTGACTTAGGGCGGCCTAGACCTGATCAATGCCGATGCCAGCATCTGCTGAATCAAAACGCAAATGTGCTACCTCGCTGTAGACTATCGGACAGAAACGCCAAGCAAGCATCTGAAGTGACATGAAGTGGCACAATGTGGCAACTCGGCATGCCAGGGTCAATCTGTATGCCCAATCGCAGAAACTGTCGAGGTCAGTTTTCCGAAGACGCGCACAGTGTTTCTCAAATTGCCTAATTATGCTGCAAGCTTGCCACATTTGCGGGATTCTTGCCGGAAAAACCACAAAGACTCAAGCCTCTGGCTGTGAAACCCCGGCTCTTGGCCGCGCCTGAAGCTGTACTTCAGAACCTTGGCAAAATCAAAGCCGGTGCCATGAAAAGGTGTCCTCTCGCGAAGGCATCTGCACACGGGGGCTACTCGGGAGGATGCCATCAGGGCCCTGGCTCACACACGGCTCTTCGAGTAGAATGGACTCAATGGTGGAAAGGCGACCATGCAAAGACTGGAAGAATTTGCGTTGTTCTTTGTTCATGAGATGCGTGGTGAACATCACGGTCTGCAGATCAATGCTCGTTGCCGCTCCCTTCATACGTACACAAGCATTGGCAAAAGTGCCTGCATCCAGCGTATTCTCGCCCTGTAGCTCGACGAGCATCTTGAAGAAGGTCTCCGCATTCTTGATGTCAATGCCCTTGGTTTGTAGATACGATCTGAACTCATAGGTCTCAACCAAGCGTCCGAATTCCTTTATTCCGATGCGTCCGCTGCCATCATCGTCTTTCAGGCCCATGTTTTGGAAGAGCTTCGACAGCATTTTGCAGTCTTCAAAATCCTGGAGCTGCTGCTCCAAGATAAGCATATCCACATCAGGTTGGGCCAGCTTCAATGCTTTTTCCACAAAGGTGCTGGTTACGATGTTCCAAACCGAAATGAACACGAAGGCGACATATGCCAAATACAAGTTCGGCAACAGCTGCCCGGTGTTCTTCAATGCTTGGTACGGCTCATTCCAGTCCACTCCAGAAGTTGACGACTGGAACAGCGTGATGATGGTGTCACCCACAGAGTGAAAGTAGTCCCTCAACTCACCCGCTGCCTTTGGGGTGACGTTCTCCTCCATGAAGTACTGCACGATTCCCTGCTGCAGCAACAAGCCGAAAACGTACATAACAAAAACCAGCAGGATGACGCACCACATTACGTTCATAAGCGAGCCCAGGACACAGTCCAACATCAAGCGAAGCTCGCTAAAGAATTTCAACGTTCGGAAGACGCGTAGGATCTTTACAATCTTGCAAAGGCGGATCAGACGCAAGAAGCCCAGGTTCACGCTTGCGGCTGCGTCTGACGAAACCTCTTGCCCTGGGAGCAGGCCGTGCACCAGGAGATTCTCGAAAATCGAAAAGACGACAAGCATGAAATCAAAGAGGTTCCATGCCATCTCAGAATTCCAGAAATAATAAAGCTTGTGTACTGCCAGCTTGAGGATTACTTCCAGTACGTAGACGGAGGCCAGGAGCAGCTCAATAAGCTTGACATTCGCGTCCATTTCCACCAAAGGCTGGTCGATGCTTTGCATCTCAAGATCTGTTGTGTACAAAATGAAGCAGGCATTCAGCAATATCACAGCCGTGGACAGTATGCCGAAGACTGTGCTGCTCACAAACTTGGCAAGGCAACCTTTGCGCTCTGGCTCTTCCAGCGACCACAGGCGTTCGAGGAGTACGGTCATGGAGAGGAGGCACTGAGCCAGCATGCTCGAACACCACCACCTATACTCTTCCTTCGAAGAGGAGAAGTTGGATCTTAGCATGTTGATCAAACCGTTGCGGACAACAGGTCGTCCGGCGCCACTGATACCAACAATGGCATACTGCGGTTCGGCACTCTCGGATGGGATCCTGTCCAAACCTTTCTCCTTCAACTCGCGCAGACTTGCACGCCTTCGAGACTCGCTTGAACCATGTGAGGCGCGCGACTCAACTTCTGGTAGGTCCCTTGGCAGGTCTACACACCTGTCATCTGCATGCCGAGAGGCCTGCAGAGTCTCGTCTGCTTTCACCACAGGCTTCTGACCCACGACTCCTCTGGAGATTGGGTTGGCTGCCGTGGGGTCTGTTTCTTGCATCTGCTGGAGCTGGAAGCAGAGCCTGGAGAGCAACACCTCTTCGTCCCTTGCACATTTCATCAAATCCTGATGAGCCTTGCGGCAGTGATGTAGAAGTGTGGTGGCCGCCTTGACATCTGACTCATCCGTACAAACGGCCATGGCTTGGTCACTACCGCAGAACTGTCTCGGACTCTGGGTCCAGCGATGTCCAGCGTGTGGCTGCTTGTCCGTCTATGAGCATGCATGTAACTGCATATGTCTTTTGGGATCTTTTTGGGCCACCACGCTTCAGCCAACACACATCCCTGCGAAGAACGACATAATCCACCTCATGCAGGTGAAAGTGCACATGCTAAATCATGCCGAGTGGAGCCGTGCAGAGCTCCAGATTTCAGGTTCTTGCCCAACATCAGGCCTTGGAGGTCTCCGTGATGAAAATCTCCGACCTCAAGGTCTGCATAAAATCTCTGCCAATCATTCAATCCGCCTTTCCACCGAGCATCGCAATCTAACAATCGCATGCCCTGGCGATTGCATCTCGTGCTATTGCCACTGCATGCCAAGTGCTCGACGTACACGAAAGGCCTCTCTTAACATGCAGTCATGTCCATTACCAAACGTTTCTGGTGAGGCAACCACTGCAGTGTGCTGGGATGCGAGCTGGAGCCTGTCGTCACCGACACTGCCAAGCACCCCTCGACCTTGTGCGAAGTTGCTCCGGGCCCAATCTCTCTGACACTCTGCTGGTCAGCGAATTCTTCGAAACTGAGGACAGGACCATTCATCGATCCTTCTGACCAGTCGCCATCATACACACTGCCTTGAGGCCTGGACAGCCGCTGCCCAGCCGTGGGAGCAGTGATGACAAAAACAGCAGCTTGGGATTTCGCCAGACGAAGCGTCCAGCACCATGGTACTCACCAAACCTGTTAAGCAGGTCATGTGATTTGCGTAGATTCGACATCGGCATCTCGCAAACAGCAGGCTTGCCTGAACTCGCCTTCATAGCTGGCAGTGTTCGACCATTCCAACAATCCTGAGATTGGCCCAGGCTACAAGTACCCCCAGAAAGGAGCGTGCCATATCAATAATTAATCAGTTGCAAAATCCTTTTCCGCTTTCTCGGTCGCTGCGAGGCAACCAATTCGCAGCCACTACGCAGGGCTTCGCTCAACAGCAGCCTCGTTCAAACACATTTGGACGATGAGAACAGGAGACACCACCGGGTCTGAGGCATGCCAACCGGGAATTCTCATCGGTGGTGTGGATATGTGGCCGATCAGATAGCAGCCACCGCAGCCGGCCTCAAAAATAGACTTCAGCAAGAACACCTTCGCGTTTGCAATCCCTGCGGCAGCCCGCCTCCGGGCTGATAGGGGCACAGACTTCCCAAGCTGCACACCGTGGCTCGTTGAGACAGGCCTGACCGTGCAACATTTCGATATAAAACACAACATGGCCGGAGCACCAGATGGGGTGTGTTCTCAGACGATTTTACGCTTACAACGTCTGTTTCGCCACTCACAACTCGGCAAACCCAGGCTACCAGAGAGCCCTTTTCCAGCAGGTACAAGACATCAACATCATCGCAATCGTCACGATATCACCCTTCCTTCAGGGGGGTCGACCCTGGGATTGGCTTTGCCAAATTTTTGCGTCGTGACGCTGTTCCAAGCCGGCGATGTTCGAAACGCTCGGAACCAAACTGAACTGGTGGATTAGCCAATTTACGATCGTCGTTGTCGGCCAGGACTTTCTAGCCAAGTTCTTCGGAAACATGATGCTTGAAGGACCCAGCAGGTGTCAGCCAGTTTCGTTCCAAGCTTTGAGAATATGTGCAATCCGTGACCATAGTAGGCCTGACCATATGTAGTTGCAATATAACGATACCAGCCAGCTGGACGTGCAAATGCACGCCTGGAGGGCATACACTGTGGATTTGCCTGTGCAAGATTAACCGGGCCATTGCTTCAAAAAAAGCTTAGCCGGGCATGTTGTCGCACTGCAATAACTTCCGGGTTTTCCCTGTGGCCACCCTGGAGTGCCTCTTTCAGAAGTTGCGCCAGCGATAGAATGAATCCCTTCTGAGTCTGATCGAGGCTTCGCTAGTGCCGGCAGCACTTTCAGAAGATTGCCAACATATGTCTGATTTCCTCCTACCCCGCAACATGTCGTGTCCGACACTACCTAAAACTGAAAATATCGTCTTGGTTGGAGATGGCATGCCGCCGTTCGCCTGTGGGTTGCTTGTTGTAGCCTTGGAGTGGTCATGGAAGTCGGTTTGCACGCACTTGGATCTCGTTGTTCGCTTTCTGATGCGTCTCTTACGCCTCGTCAGTCAGAGCGAATACCATGCTGTTCCGCATCCATGCAATATGTGGCCTGTCAGGCACAGGCGCACCAACACCTCAAACAAAAAAGCGGGCAGAGCAAACATTAAATACAGTAGCTAGTGACTAGTGGACCCTGAAGATAGTGTTTCATGGTACGAGTACCTCACTGGCAGTCCATTTATGCCTGCTGGCACATGTCCGGATCCAATGCCAGGGGGTCACCAAGCAAGTGGTCCCCTCGGTTGCATCGAGGTGCAAATTGCTGCTTTTTTTGAAACACTTCACCCTCTGCCGAGAAGGAAACTGATTGCCGCATACGGGAAGCCCTTATCACGAGGGTCTTGTCGCCTACAGCACGCAAGTTCGGTAGACACAACAGACATGCGGAAAACTCAGAACTGGGACCCTTGCCCGAGGAAATTCGGCTTGACCTCTGCTAGGGCGACGCAGCCGAGATTGCACTTGCAGTGAAGCTGAGCGATTGGCTTGCGATGCAGACTCCTCGCACGAGAGTGGCCAGCACAATCGGTAATGACCAAAAAACACACCGAGCCCGGGGCAACAGAGACCCTGGCAAGACCAAAAACGTCCTGCACGAACAGAGATGAATGTCCGCTCGCCGGTGATGAAACCGCGTGTGAAATTGCACGTGCGTCTGTCATCGAAAACGACCCCAACGGCCCCAACACATACACACACACACGGAGACGGTGGATGTAATTTGTGATATAGGCTTTTAAACCGCTATCCTCCCAATTCCAGGTTCCAGAATGCCTTAGTGTGTCGCCTGAACCTGACGTTGTATTATCGACATGCCAGGTTTATGGCTTGGTTTGGTTGTTATTCCTATGCAGGTACGTCGACTTGGCGTCCCAAGTCGATATCACGGGAAAGCAAAAAGGCCTTCGTTGGTGCCAGCCTTCTGCAATCCCCTGCCACCCCCTGCATCTGTACAAAATTGCTTACAAAACCCTTGGCTTAGAATCAGGGCTTCCACACACACACCACCTGTTCAGGGGGAGATAAGCACTTGTCAGGAGTTCGTCCTTCCTTCTGATTTAAAAAAATAACATGTTGCACCAGTTGCAACATGGCACGAAACCTGCGACGGGGTTTGCCCGAAGTCGATTGATGGCCTTGTTCTGTCAAAAGGCTTAGGATGAGCTCCGCACGTCTAGGAATGAACATGTCATCAAGCTGGTTGGTGGCCTGACATCACGGGCGAACTGATTTTTTTGGCATGGAATAACCTTCAAAATGCTTCCGTCCTTAGCATGAAAATTGGACCGAAGCGGTTTCCTAGGAAAGATCCCTCGAAGTTGGTCAGGTGACGGCGAACTTGGCGCTACTTCATCGCCGGTGATTGGATCTGATGAAGAAATTGTTGCATCTGAAGACAATTGCTGCGGCTTTGTGGTAGTCGGCGCCTGCACTGGATGAGTTCATTGGATGTCGAACCTGATGAAAGAATTCCTGCCATATCTGATGTGTCTGGCGAATGAGATAGAAGACCCCTGGAAATCGCAATTGATGTAGTGCCTGCCTCTGATTCCGGATTATTGATGAGAATGTCCGCTTCATCGGCAGACACTGGTGATACATCTGAATCAGGATCTGGGACTGGCTGTCACTGCGAGACTCTGGTAGTACATCTGAATCCGAATCGAATGTAGAGACCTGATGTTTGGAAGCCATGGTATCTACGTACTTGAGCCGACCTCACACAAAGTTCAACGATGACCTGGCACACTCATGTGGATGTGAACGCGGGCGGACCTGATTGTGACTCTGAGTGACCTGCCATGATCGTCTGGAGTAGTGCGCACACCTGACACTGTCTCCAAAGTTCGAAAAAGCAGTGTTGGGCTCTGTAAACTGGATATGTCTACCTCTTTGTTCAGCTGGAAGAAATTCAGCTGAAGTCTTTTCCCCGTCAGTGCTTTGATCCGGTACTGTTGTTTTTCTTCACCTGATCGACCAGATCTGAATAACCGCACACGAGATGTAGTCTGAGAGGTTGTCCTCTCGCGCAGCGAACTGGAGGTCTTTGGACCTCCACTCGTAGTATATGCGACTCGGCAGGGAAACCTGCTTCTGCCGCGGTTCTTTTCACGGCAGCTCGTTGTATGCGAAAGGAGGAGAGATAAGCTGGAAACCTGCATAATGAAAGGACCTACAACGGATAGCATGAGACATGTGAACAATCTGCAAGTGCGTCAAGCTTCCGTCCTGCTTGATCCGATATGTAGCGAGCATTATGGTCTGTGTTTGCATGTGATGACGATCGGTCTTCTCCAGGAAATTTTGCTAGCATCACATCAGCTACAGCTACAGGTGATCATATGCCGATTCATCATGTAAAAAGCAGTGATGGGGTCTCTTGATTGGTCCATCGATGAAGCGTAGTCTGCGGTTAAGAACGTCCCACACATGCCGTAGAAGTTCGAGAAGCTGGGAAGTGGAACACCATGTTACACGCCAGCGAGCGTCATCCATCATCTGGCGGTCCATGATTCCTCTAATAATCCCGGGTGCCTTGATATGGTGTATGTTGCGTTAACAAAGCAGTCGTGAGATGACATGACATGTACATCTTTACGCAGATTGGGCCTGTCACCAGCTCTGCTACATCTCGGTGCGCGGCACTTTTCCTGATTGTTGCAGGTGCAAGCGACGAAAGTAGGTTTCTAAATCCGGCAAATAGAAACCTCTCTTCAGGTAGAGCTCACTTAAGTCCTGCACTTGTGGTCGGACCAACCTGTAAGGTCTGGTGTCCGCTGCGCGCAAAATGTGCTATTTTTGTAAGCTGGGTGATGGCATCTCCCTGACGAAATGCGTCAGGACGGGCCTGGTTGGTCATGAATTGCAGTCTGTTGGCCAGATCTTCCCACAGTCGTCTGCCCGTGGTGTTTAGAGAAGCGATGATTGGCCGACCTTTCTTGTGCTGTTTTGGGCTTTTGGGAGTGCGTAAGCCTGCGGGATGCATCCCCATTGCTTACAGGCCCATTTGTAGGGGTGGAGGATGCTGCAGATGTGATTGTAAGTGTCGAAGTGGTGTGCCAAGGCCGGTGATGTGGAAATGGTGAAGACATCTGGATCGGCAAAGGTATTGGTGATGGTTTGGTCGTAAAGTGTGGGGCAGTACCCCATCAGTCGGTTTGGGAAGTGGTCTTCACAGTGTATCATGCCAGGGGAAGTCTGGGTTGTATTTCTTCGATAGTGTGGATGTTGATGTGGTGTTTGTTGTGTTGCTTGTGTTTTTGCCGTTGGGTGGAGACGAACTGCTTGAGTTCGGTGTCGAGAACCGGTATATGGTAATGTTTGTGCCAGGCTTTTAAAGCTCGCATCAGCTTTGGAACTATATATATATATATATATATATATATTGCATCTTTGGGGAGAATGTTACTTTTGCCCGAATAGGCAATAAATGGCTGGCTTGGGCACACTTGCGCCAACTGTGTGCAACGTGCTGGTGATGCATATGGTGTTGTGAGGACTGCTTGGCCTGTGCAGGCCGGTGGTGTTTCCGTTGTCCAGGAGTTGTGTGCTGCTCTCCAGTTGTGGAGTATCTTCTGAGTTCTGTGCTGGGCACATAGAGCCGCAACACATGTTGTTTGTGCTCAGTGAGTCGTTCCCGTAGGAAACGTCGAAGATCTGTGGAAAAGGAAGCGTGCCTCAACGGCTGTACAAGTTCTGTCGG